TTATAATAAAAAAAATTGGACTTTGCAAGATCACTTTAAATTATTTCGATCAATTAGTTAGCTTTTCTAACAAAAGAAAAAAATAATAATAAAAAGAAGATTAAAGACTAGCAAAAGATCAACTAGTTGTGATTAAATTTACTGCAACGTGTTTGATGTAGTATGAATTTTGAGAAAGTATTTTCAATCCACCCAAAATAATTGAGTTTTTTTTTTTTTTCATTTTTTCTTAAAAGAGAGGTTTACTTTCTTAACTTATGGCATTCAAAAATGATTTGTGCTTATATAATTATTTTATTAATTCTAATTTCTATAATGTCAAACTTTTATTTACAGGATATATGTAACTATAAAAGTAAGAAACAATAAAAATTTTGTTTATTAACATATAACGTTAGAGTATACCAACTCAAATTAGATTTAATAGTATAGTATTTAATAGTTTAATTAAAATGTACTAGACCATGTTAAATAACAATAGACTAAATAGTCTAGCATTTTTAAAAGACAACATATTCTGATTATTTTTGTTCTTGACTAAGAAGACTAAGTATTGAGAAATTAAAATTTTAAAATTGTTTATGAGAATTAATAATGTTGAATATTATATAGTAAATAATCTACTGCAGTTAGTTATTGAAAAAAGGAAATAATTCTAATAGATTATTATGAATTTTAATAATATATAATAAGTAAACTTTTTATCCATTGAACATGCTATCAACATTCATAAAATTTGATAATTAAAAAGAAAATACAATATCTCAAGACCTTGACCTTTTTGCACATTGAACACTTCAAATTATTGAGAGCACTGGTTTCTTGGCAGCTCCTGAATTCTATCGTCTTTATAATTCAGCAAGGAAATGGCAAACATGGTGGGTCATCGAAATTATGAAGTTGTTTGTCTTCTTCTTTTTCTTCTGTCAGAAAGAAATTCATTGCCGTCCGCACCGTAATTTCGTCCATCTTTAAATAAAAGCAGATCAGTCTTTATTATCTGCTTTTATCATTCAAATAAACTCACATCATTGAAAAGATTTATCACACGTTAATATAAATTTACAATTTAACTCGGATTTAGTGTTTCAGTGCATTTAATGAGATAATACTGCACTAAATATTAACTAATATTGTCTTTTGTTTTTAATATGTTCAGAATATTGAATTAAACTTAAAACTTGTACCAAATAATAATTAAGAACTTTAATTAGAAATTAAAAAAGTAAAGATAAAAACAATATGAGATGTATTAGAATAATACTACACTAACAATCATTTTTCATAAACTTTTTCTCATAACTCTGACATGATAGCTCACAATTAGTCAATTCACAATAAATCCTATATGAGTCCCGCATGAATCCCACTAATTAATTACAAACTACTACGTCAGGGTTGTGAGAGAAAGTTTGTGAAAAAGAGTTGTTGGTGTATTATTAATCGATGTTGTTATTAGATAATAAGAATCATTTTACTTTTCATTTTGAATTATGGTTTGACAACATTATAGGGGTAAGCATGGGTAGTAGGTAGAACCAGAACTGGAACCAGAACCTAGGATGAGAATCGATGGTGGGTACTTGAGATGGAACTTGCTTGGAACCGAAGACGGGTACCCAGGATAGAACCTGCTTGGAACCGAAGGCGGGTACTCAGGATGGAACTTGCTTGGAATTGAGGGTGGGTACCCAGGATGGAACCTGGACTAAAAAAATAATTTTGGCTGTTAAATAACCATAATGCCCCTTGTCTATTTTATTAGCAATTATACAGTGAAAGATGTTCTCCGAATTCTTACATCCACACAATATTTCTGATAATTTTGATAGCTTCCTTTACATTGTCTCAGAAGTCAAGTATGTGTACAGCTCATCATGAGTCATTTCTATCACAGTTTCCTAAATATCTTGTACATAAAATGACAACAGTGTCCCTTGACAACTTCCCTGACATTGAAATAGCAAAGATGCTCTACAGATATCCTCAATCTACACCATTAAAGTCATGATTATTTGATGCACAGTGAATTCGAGAGGTATCTTCAATCCATCCAAAATAATTGGAGTTTTTATTTTTCATTTTTTTTGAAAAAAAGAGAGATTTATTTTCTTAACTTATATAAACATTTTATTAATTCTAATCTCTAATAATGTCAAATTTTTATTTATAGGATATATGTAACTATAAAATTATGTTAAATACTATTTATAACATTAAGAAACAATAAAAATTTTGTTATTACAGTATAACCGTAGACTATACCAAGTCATACTAGATTTAATGGTCTAGTACTTTTTAGATAGATCAAATATTAATTATTTCTGTATGTAACATTAATTTTATTAACTTCTTTTTACTTTTTGGAGACATTGTGGGTCATCCATTCATAAAAAGCATATCAGTCTTTCAAGTTTTCACGCGCATTTCAAATTGCATTTTCTCTCGCATCTTCCTCAACTCAGTTTTATGTACAAATCACTTTAAATTATTTCAATCAATTAGTTAGCTTTTGTGACAAAAGAAAAAAATAAAAAAATAAATATAAGATTAAAGATAAATTAGTCATGATTAAATTTACTACATTTGATGTAGGATAAATTCTGAGAATGTATCTTCAATCCACCCAAAATAATTAAGTTTTTATTTTTCATTTTTTAAAAAAAGAAGAAAGATTCACTTTCTTAACTTATAGCATTTAAAAATGATTTGTATCTATATTAGAAATAATTCTAATAGATTATTATGAATTTTAGTCATGCAGTAAATAATGTTAGTTATTGAAAAAATGAAATAATTCTAATAGATTATTATGAATTTTAATAATATATAATAAGTAAACTTTTTATCCATTAAACACGCTATCAACATTCATAAAACTCGATAATTAAAAAGAAAATACAATATCTCAAGACCTTGACCCTTTTGCACATTGAACACTTACAATATAAAGTACTGCTGTAGTTTCTTGGTAGCTGCTGAAATTTGTCATCTCTTTAACGTCTCTTTAATTCAGCAAACATGGTGGGTCATTGAAATTATAAAGTTGTTTGTCTTCTTCTTTTTCTTCTGCCAAAAAGAAAATCGTTACTGTCCCACTACGTCTGCACCATAATTTCGTCCAAAGCAATTTTACTCAGTTATCTTTGAATCATATCAGTCTTTTAAGTTTTCACGCGCATTTCAAATTACATTCTCTCTCTCATCTTCCCAACTCAGTTTTACGTGCAAGGATTTACAAAAGCATATCAGTCTTTCAAGTTTTCACTCGCATTTCAAATTACATTATCTCTCTCATCTTCCTCAACTTAGTTTATGTGCAAAGATTTCCAGATAGCGGAGGAGTTTCATTTATAGGAGAACACCAATCAGTATGATGTTTCAACTTCAGCTTCTCTTCTGATTTTAGCTAGTTTAATTAACTTCTTCTTTATTATTATTTATTTGCTAACGTCTTTATGAATTTAAAGTTTGCAAGGATCTAATCAAAGATCTTAATTACAGTTCATTTTGAGTGTGAAATTTTACTTCAAATTCTCTTACGTAGAAGGTATCAATCACAATCTTTTATACTGGCTTTAGATATATATCCTACTTTATAAAGCTGAATTTGCGACAGATTCTCAAGCTCAAATAGCATCATCATAATTGGGTATGATACTCATCATCTTTGAACTTCATTATTATACCACTACATAATTTTTCATTAAAAAGTTAAAGAAATATTACAAAAATTAATTTGTTTTGAGCTTCATTATTTTATCTTTGAAATTCATTGGCTTGGTTGAAGTTTATTTAGAATGTGTGGTCAACGGCCAGATTTTTNTGTGACCAAATATTATTTCAAAATTTATATTGAAGAGAGTGAAAAAATGAAGAAGTTTTTTAGTAAGTTTAATCACACAGTTTGTCTCACTTGATACATGGACAAGTTGTTAGAATCTCAATTATTTGAGTCTTATAGCTGACTTCATGGATGAGGATCGGCAACTACATAAAAGGATTTAAAATTTTTGTCCTATAAGTAGTCATACAGGTATAATCATTGAGAAGAGAGTTGAAAGGTGCTTACTTGATTGAGGTATTTCTAAAGTTTTCACAATAATGGTCGACAATGCAAGTTCTAATGATATGGGAATAAGCAATCTTAGGAGTCAGTTGGCAAGTTGGCAGGGAAATGTCTTGGGTACAGATACTAACTTTTATGTTAATTGTGATTGTGACCATACATTCTCAAGCTCAAATAGCATCATCAACAATTGGTATGATTACTTATTATTTTTCAATTTCATTATTATACATTATCTATAAATTTTGTAAACTTTACTATAAATGATCTAGATTGTTAGTTTAAACCAAAGGATCCTTAGAAACATTCAGAGAATATAAATAGATAAATTGTTATTAGGGTGAACTTAACATTTTCTTTTTTGGCAAGTTTAACAGCAGCAAAAATTATTAATTCGTCCTTAGATTGGGAGGTTCAATTCCTACCAAAGATGTATTAATTTTCATTTAACCCCTAATTGTTCTTGCTCTCATAGTTAGTCTAAAGATAATGAAAACTTCGCAACAGACAAGGTGGGTCATCCCAGTTGCTAAAGGAAAGAAAAAGAGCTCGTATTTTTTCACCTTTAAACTAATTACTACCCGTCAAGAATTTGGGTTGGCAATGTCATTTTAATTTCTTGTTTAATCTTCTTAAAAAATGTAAATACCCATAAAATTGAATGCTTGTTTTCTTTATTATCTTTATTCATTTCCAATATTAACTTGTTTTATTTATTTTGTTATTAATGCTTTTGTGGCTCCATAATACCGTCACTTATATTTTACCTAATTATCTTTTTCTCATTTGATAGGTCAAGTCTTTGGACACATTGTGGGTCATCCATTGATAAAAGTAGAGAGGTGATTGTGCAAAGATTTATAGATACCAGGGAAGTTACATTTCCAGGAGAACACCAATCGGTATGATGTTTCAATTTCAGCTTCTCTTATGGTTTTAGTTGGTTTCTTTGTTATTATTACTTGCTAACTTCTTTATGAACTTAAATTTTGCAAGGATCTGATCGAATATCTCAAATACACTTTATTCTGAGTGTGGAATTTTACTTCAGATTCTCTTACCTGGAAGGTATCAATCACAAACTTTTATACTGGCTTTAGATATATATCCTAGTTCATAAAGCTAAACTTTGCGAATTGTGACTACAGATTCTCAAGCTCAAATAGCATCATCACAGTTGGGTATGATACTTATCATCTTTAAACTTCATTATTATACCACTACAAATTATTTCATTAAAAATTTAAAATGTTTTGAACTTCATTGGCTTGGCTTAAGTTTATTTAGAATGTGTGGTCAGTGGCCACATGTCTAAATTAATGGGTTAAAGAGGACAAATTTTTTTTGCTTAGAATAATATTGCATATAGGTTGTCTCCATCATTCCAAGGATAGGGCTGAAATTTCGTTTTCTTATTACATTTGCATAATTTAAGTCAGTTTATGCTAAGAATAGAGAAAAACTTGCGAGCTAAGGTTTCTGGAAAAATGATTTTCATTAAAATGTAAGAGAAGAGGTATAACAACTTATATAGTTTGTGAAGAAGAGATAACTGTTTCACTGTGTTGTCTCCTAGTTTTAGCTTATAACTCTTAACAATTTATGGTATTTGACTAATTAGTAGCCATTGTTAGAATATCTTACTCAGGGTTGTGAGCTATTAATCCTATGAAAAGGATAATATCTTCCAGTTTAATCGAGTATGATTACATAAAATATTTAAAGTTCGTCATTTATTGTTTAGCTATTTATTTTTATTGTTTCACTTGCAGAATGCAGGTCATAATAGTCTCTCACAGTGTGTAGTTTTCTATTGTGTCAAGATATCTTTTAGTAGAAAAAAGGTATAGGAAATGTCCTTTTTTCTTTTGTGCTTTTGACATTTATTATAATATGGATGTAGCTTAACGAAGAAGATCTAATTTAAAACTTCTGCTTTAGAGCATCATCATGAAACCAAAATTTATCATATAGTTTAATATGTTAATCTTAAAATTAAAAGAAAATGTCTTAACGAAGGTGATCTCGATAAATTATACTTGATAAATTAATAACTTTAATTAAATAATACTTTTGACTGGTCCTGACATAGGATTTATAAGATAATACATTAAAACACACACACACATAGAGATAATACTTGATATATAAATTAATAATCTCCTTATACATCAAAATTATATATATGCATGACTCAATTAAGAGGCATTTTATAAAACAAGTCAAATGTTACTTGTTTCCTCTTGAAATTGATGTCTTCATGGATCTCATCTCTAACTTTCCTTAGTGCATTAAGAACCACTAATGTAGTGTTTTCATATTGCAAGAGAAAATTACAATGTGATTGTTTCTTTAAGTGCATTAACTATGAACTATTCCCTATATCACATGAACTATGCACAATATGTACATGCATTAAGTTCAATGTTTTGGAAAAAGAAAATAAAGAATGCCTCAATAAATTAATAATTTATTAATTTATACCATTACTTAATATATTGATTTATTCATAAATTTTTATGGTCCCAATGATATTAATTTATTGAGGTTAAATTATGTACGTATATATATCTTATGCTATTTAGAAATAAAAATTTTAATATTAGTAAGGTTAGATATGATTTTATTTCTTGGAGATAATTGAGCAAATATTAACCAAGGGACTTCAAGAATATTCACTAATACTTACAATGAAATGCATACTCTACTCTGAACTAACCTTGTTTGTTATCAAATAGGAACAAAATAATAANGCCATGTATGAAAGAGCATATAGCTTAATAACTTAACTTGGGGGAGGACAGACCATTCCAACAGCTATTTTTAAATTTCTCCTTTTCTTAAGCATTTTACACTCTTATATCTTTATATGTATATTTCTCAGATTATTTTAGTTTGAAACTAATTGGCAATTGCAGGTTTTTTGAATTTGGATCAGACTGAAATTAATTCCACAATTTTTTAATTTTGAATTTTAATGCAAGAGGATGTGGTATGCACCCTATTTATAATCCTCATCTTTCACATGCAGTGGAAATTGCAGCAGAAATGCTCACCCCTCAACATTGATTAGAGCTAAATTTTCAATTGTTTCAAACCCTTTGGAATGTCATATCGCAAAACTGGGATAATGGTGCGAGGGTGCAAGACATTTGCCCCAAAATATAATTTAATTTAGAAACAAAAGTCAGAAAGTTACGCAAATTTAACAGACATATGAGTAGTAATCAATTCTGTTAGGATTAGGATAAGTGTGTTAAGTCTTTTATTATTATCTTTTATGATTATGTTAAGTCTTCTATAATTATCTTTTATAATTATATTATTATCTTATTAGGATATAATTAGGATTATCTTATCATCCCTTTATAATTAGAGTTTTTTTTAGAGTCAATATAGTCAAGTGTAAGGTTATATAATAGCCTAAATCCATATTGTGGGAATGAATAAAAGAATTTTGTCAATTAATATTTTTATCTCTTGTTCTTGGAGGTCTTTGTTCCTCATATAAACAGATCATATCCCAAACCCTATCATTGGTGCTCTCGTTGAGAGTTATGGCTGAAGGCACTCGCTTGCATCTTTTGGATGAGCAGCTTGCTAAAATTATGGCTCTACAATCTGCCTAGGCAGAGACTCTGACTCCTTTAACAGAGAAATTGGAAGTTTTGACCGTTGGTTTTCAAGATGTTACTTTGCAGATTTCAGCTCTAAACAACAAGTTTGATCAAACCTGCCAGCAAAACCAGTAACAAAACCAACATTCCAATGAATTATCTTCAAATTTGACTGGGCGAGGTGGATCGACTTTCGGGAGTTTTTTTCCCAAGTCTTTCCGTTTAGAAGTCCCTCGTTTTGATGGCACGGATCCACGTGGATGGAGGTTTAAAGCCGAGCAATTCTTTGATTACCATAATATCTCTACTGAGCAACGATTGACGATCTCTTCCTTCCACATGGATGGGCCAGCTCTCTCCTGTTATCGTTGGATGCATTCCAATGGGCAGATCCGTTCTTGGCATTCTTTCCTATAGGATTTAGATGTTCGTTTTGGGCCTTCGGAATTTGTGGATTACCAAGGGCAATTGGCAAAACTTATTCAAACAGGTTTTGTAGTCGCTTATCAAACAGAATTTGAGGAACTCTCTAATCAAGTTTCTGGCCTTCCAGGTACGTTCCTTCTAAGTTGCTTTGTATCAGGGCTCAAACCAGAAATCTGAAGGGAGGTGCAGTCCTTTCGGCCTCATACCCTCAACCATGCCATGAGTCTTGCCCGCTTACAGGAGGACAAGCTGCAGGATCTACACCGATACTTGCATTCTGTCGACCTCGTATCTTGCGATCCTAGTAAATCAACTCTTAATGTTCCTTCAGTGCAGCAGACCCTTTTGCCTACTCCAAACAAATCGGATTCCTTGCCTGTTAAGCGACTCACAACAACACAGATGCAAGAACGACGCAACAAAGGTTTGTGCTATAATTGCGATGAGCGCTTTCACCCTGGGCATCGCTACACGGCCAAGTTCTTTCTCTTGCTGATGGAGAGGGATGATGATGATGAGCACGAGGATGAACCAGGATAACTGTTGTTAATGGTGTCGTACCTTGCAACCTTGAGGACAAGGTTGAGGCGAAGGGGAAGGCAATGTTAGGATTAGGATAAGTGTGTTAATTAAAATTAGGATAAGTGTGTTAAGTCTTTTATTATTATCTTTTATAATTATGTTAAGTCTTTTATAATTATATTATTATCTTATTAGGATAGAATTAGGATTATCTTATCATCCCTTTATAATTAGAGTTCTTTTGAGAGTCAATATAGTCAAGTGTAAGGCTATATAATAGCCTAAATCTAGATTGTGGGAATGAATAAAAGAATTTTGTCAACTAATATTTCTATCCCTTGTTCTTGGAGGTCTCTGTTCCTTATATAAACAGTTCCTATCCCAAACCCTATCAAGTTTCCCATGTCCCAGACCTCTTCGTAAGACAATGTCCCTAGTATCACAGCTTCGCTAACTACAGAGAAGATAGCTCTCCACATTACGATATAACCTAATAGTAATGTTTTCTTAAAGTTCTAAGAAGATATACTAACATTAGAGTGATTTTGCAAGATAAGCATATATAAGGCTGCATACAAACCTTTTCTTGGGTCTGCACTGTACACTTCATCCACATCAGTCCAGATTGTGACTTGACAAGGCCTGAGAAGAGCACCCATTATAGAGGCAGAGTTGTCGCTTCCATTCCTCTTCAAAGTTGTAGGCATATTATCGGGTGTACTGGCCATAAAACCAGTTGCTATTACCGTCTCCGATGGATTTTGAGAATACCATTTCTTTAGTCTTTTTTCAGACTCCGACGATTCAGGATCAACTTGATTAGAGCTGGTTGGATTTACAATGATGACATCTCTTCTACCCATCCATTGGCAATCCATATTATTGGAAAATTTTTATTTTTAACAATGAGACAACGGGTTTGGATTCCGGGTCTACAGACCCGGTTATGATCATTGGAAGAAATTTAGATTTTTAAAATTTTTAAGAAGATTTAAGAAAAGAGAAGAGCAAAAACCAGCAAAAGAGAATGAATATTATAAATTAAAGAATAAATATTATAGTTAGATGTTAATCTTTTAGTAAAAATTACTTATTTGAAACTGTTATACTTGGGAACTTAGGGCTGATGTGGCACCTAGTTAAGTGCACAAGGTCAGACCTCGGGAAGAGCCTACTGCCATTCTGATGCAGCTGCTTCATGTGATCATGGTGGCACCCACAGCTTGCTTCCGTCAGAGTAATGGGTGCACGTCAGGCCAGCAAGGAGTTGTGATGATCCCGCATGTCCAGCCCCTGCAGCAAATCACGTGAATTGCTTTAAACGAAGGATTTGCACGGATCATCCCACCAACTTGCAAATTCAGTGATGATTACCTCAAGGCATCCCACTATAAAATGGGAGCTCCTCTCTCATTAAAGGGATTCGCATATTTTACTCTTGATAAAAACTCTCTCTCTAGAAAAGACAGTCTTCGATATCTTGTATCATCAGTGTAAAGTCAGTCGTCTAAAGCGACCTGACCATTATCATAAATAAAAACATCAGTGGACGTAGGATTTGCTTCCTTAGCATCCGAACCACTTTAAAACTCCTTTCTCACTGCATTTACTTTCCTTTTTTTTTAAAACCTTTCACGTGTGTCTTTTGGGGCCAACTTAACATTTCACACGTGCTTTTAGTTGGTGTCAAAATTGTGCATCAATAGAAACCTTTCTAATTTGTCTTATAGGAGCCAACTTCTTAAAGCAATTGTGACTTTTTTCTGAAAGAAAATTTACTTTGTCAATTGTCATTCATTTTCTGCATTCAGAGAATCTACTTGACGAGGTAATGTTTATTTATGTCTGTTTGAATTGTGGTAATATATGTATTGAATTTTCTTTCTCAAATTTAAATCTTTGGAATTTCGATGTAGACTCTCGTGAGGAGCTACAGATTCATGGTCGAGCGAATTAGACGCTACAACAAGCCCAACATTTGTCACCTCTCTCCTAGCTGAACTTGCTTTGCTTCTGGTGACGTCAGTACTACCGGCCCTATTTATTCAAGAAGGGACTTTCTGTGCAGATATGGATCAAACGGGCAACCAAAAGCCCATACAGTAATAGGTCATGAGAATTGAGAACAACCACAAGCCCACAGAAATAGAAACTCGATCTTCACACAAAATAGTAATGTACAGACAAAGTGTACAAGCATTTTTATATATGTAAACGTAGTAATGCTTTTCAATGTCGTACCATTCATTCACATTTATTGAATTCATCATGTAATGTGTATATAATTTTGTATACAAAGTTGATTTATATAATATTATTAGAATTGAAAAGAGATTCATACAATATTATAAATAGAATGGTCAAAATTAAAGGATATTGAGTTTGGTACACTCTATAATTCCAGGTCTAAACATGATGGAGATCGCATAATTTATATGATAAAGTTAGTCAGAGTCTCACATTAAATACTGCACAAACTCAATCTAAAATTAGAATTCCAATCACCACTAAACTCTCATTTTCCTCTCACAATCACTACCAATGCACACTTCAACCTTTCCTCTNAGGCAAAACACTTGAAGATTGTGTGATTTTGAATCTGCTGTAGGTCAAATTATTTTGTTCATTCTTGATGTTGTTGACAAGGCTTTGGCACTTGGTACTCAAAACCGTGTGCATGGATACCTACTGCTATTCGGCAGAGCTTCAGAGCATGAGATATATTAATTTTATTTTGCATTCCTCTGTTTGCAGGGAATGGTGTTTGATCTTGCGAAATCCTATATATTGATCTTGCAAAATCTAATTCCTGACCTAAGTGCTCAAGAACAGGTCTGTAGCTTGTTGAATATCTTCCCTTAAAATTTGATTTGATTTATGTTATATATTTTAGTTGCTCGGTGACGTCATGTGTACTCCTTGGTTATTACTATTAGATGATGAATGGAGTGGCTCAGATAAGAAGGCAAGAGCATCTTCCACATTTTCAAGGGGTTCTTCTGACTTTGGTGGGTGGATTGCCTAGATTTAATTAGTTTGTGTCAGATTACTTTGTGGTTGCTTGTTTAAACAGTTTCTTTTCTTGGCTCACTTTAGGCCTGTTAATAATGTTTGTAATCTCTATCTTGCTCTCATTCATTTGTTTTATATGAGCCGGTTGGTGCTTGTCTAATCTCTTACTTGGACTACAAATTAATTACTTAGTCACATGAAGGACATATCCTTATAGATGCTCACATTGCACATGTTTTGCATGTTTGGGCACTAGCAGGTTTTGGCAGCGTTCACATGCCTGGAACGGGTAATTCTGCTTACAACATGATTGGTTATCCACCTACACAAAGGTCATCTGCATTACTTAAGCACAACTTTCATTACTTAGAAGTGATTACTTCTAGATCAATTAGCACATACTTTTACTTTCAAGTGATTGCTTCTAGCAGAAAGGTCAAGGTTCAAGTAAAAGCGGTTACTACATGCCTGTTTGCAGAAGTTGGAGTGTAGTATCTGCCTTTTTTATTTTCAGTTCTACATGTATCTGTAAAACCTTGTCTGATTATTAATCCTTGTTTTCTCTTTTTCCCTTTTGCTATCATTCAGTCTTGGAAACCTCGACGCAAGAGCTGTTAGTGAGATAACAGCTTCCAAATTGGTCAAGCTACATTTCAGCTTGATTTTCTATTTAATTGGGCAAACAAATGCTCCTTATTTCCAAAACTCAACTAATCATGCATCACTTAATGGAATGAAAATATAGCTAGTATTTTAAATCGGATGAATAATACAGATTCCAAGGGAAAAATAACTAAGGTTAATTACGCATATAATCAACAATAATACTTTAAAGACATCTTTTTTAATTGTTACTATTAAATTTTATGACTGATAATGCATAGAAGACTGAAAGACAAAAGTGTCCGAGAAGGAGAACCGGTGAGAATTGAAGACTATTAATAATATTTAGATATATAATCACACACATAAAATGTGAAATTATATGAATGATAGGTGCACTAATGTTAAGAAGTTCATAATCAGAAGTTGGTTGTGTTTTGAAGAGAGGAGAATGAAGAACTCCAGTTTGTTGAAATTCAAATGTTTGTTAAAATAATCAACGGTCAGCTTGACAGAGGATGTAATGAAGTCCGTTAAAAGTTCTAAAATTCACTAAAGGAACTATAGTTCTATTAAAGTCGGTTAGTGTTTATAAGTTGAATACTTGAATGACACGGTTTTATTATACAAATAAATTTACAAATGAAGGAGCGTTTGTTTTTGGATTCAAGTCTGCATGGTTTGTGTTTTTGCTTCGCTTGAATTACAGCTTGAAGAAGATGATCCAACGATGTAGCTTTTGACAATTTGTGTTTTTTTTGTGTGATTGCGATTACTAGTTAGACTGATCATATGGATTGCCAACCTGTGACAGTTTTTGTATGTAGTGTAGAAATATTTTATACTAGTAAAATTGATTTAGATTCCCACGCGGCAAAGAATCTTTTGGGAAGTGACAATCAAAAACTAATTGAAGTATGAGACAGAAAATTATTCAATTAGGAAAATTATTAATCATTCACATAGTCTCCCCAAATAAAAAAGCTATTTAATTTTGGATAAACATATTAGGAAAATCAGTTTGACAGTAATAACTAATCAATAATGTTATGCTTACTCATGATCTTACTAACTATTTTACTATCCTTTGTAAATATAAAGTATAGTGCAGGTGCCATAAGCATAATGCGGATACCATATGTAATTTTAACAAAGGATAATAAGATGGTTAGTAAGATCGTGAGTAAGTATAACATTATTGATAACTAATTGACATGGGAATGAAAGTAAAAACAAGTAACAAAAAAGCAGAAATTTTACATGGTGAATGAGTCTTGTTTGAGGAAACACATTATGTCTCCAATTCCAATGCTCTCTTCATTGAGTGATGCTATGTGTACTAACGGATGGGTACTAATCTGTGTACTAACTAAAGCATAGTACCCGTACTACGCGTATAGTACCCGTACTATGCTTTAGTTAGTACACAGATTAGTACCCATCCGTTAGTACCCAAAGTATTATTCCTCTTCATTATGGTATGCGTAATTGACCAACAACTAACGATTATTCTCAAGATTTTGTAATTAATGATAATCTTCGCTAATCCATACATATCTATATTTACTAATAAACATATTCATTAGCTCAAAACATTTTAACCCATCTAGCAAATATTGGCAAAAAAAAAAAAAAAAAAAAATTATCCTATAAATATAAAATAAAACAATAAAGACATACTTACAATCTAATCTTATAATTTTTTTTTTTTAATTCCAACTTAATAACTCACAATTAGAGAGAGAAAACCCGTAATTTGATAATAAAACTCATTATAAACTATTACATATAGATTATACGAGAAAATTAATGAATAATAAAACTCATTATAAACTATTACATCTAGATTGTACGAGAAAATTAATGGGTGCGTTTGATTCAATATTTCTACCCATATTCTCAATCCTATTCCCCAAATATTGTTTGGCACATTATTTGAGAAATATTAGTGTATTTTTTAAATTATTTTTAGACCCCTTAAGTTTATTAATTTCACTAAATACCCCTAGAAAAAAGTTTAAAAATTAGCAAAAATACCCCCACCTACCCATACTTGCCAGATTACGGCAATCACCGTCGGTGGTAGCCGGAATCTGTCACAACGGTGAATAACCGACCAAAACTAGCCGATTATTCACCGATTTGGGCTTTTCTGACTAGATCCACAGTGGATCTGGCCGTCAGCCACGGCCAAAGAAATGGTCGTCGTTCATATCTTTGGTTGTTACTAACAGCCAAAGATGGACCTTTGCGGCCGTCGACGGCCACATTTGGCCGTAGATCTGGCCTTTTCCGGCTAGATCCGCGGTGGATCTAGCCGAAAAATGCCATATCGACGCGTTACGACACAGATCTGACTGGTCTATGTTGTAATGCAATTTTTCGGCCAGATTCTGGCGGTAATGGCCGGAATTTGGCACTGCAGGTGGTGGGGGTGTTTTTGTCATTTTATATATTAGGGTGTTTAATCAAATTAGCAAACCTAAGAATTTTTTTATAAATTTTTTAATTTTACCTCGTAATATTTCCCTATTCAACTACCCAATATTATTCCCAAAATCCTATCTAAAATAATAAACTAAATGCATCCAATGAGATTTGGTTATAAATGTAATATTGTTCATAATAAAAATAGTAATAAAAAAAAATCAATACATAATAATGCATAAGTAAAATTTTTGAGAATTTTTATCACATTAAAGATTAATCAATTAATAAAAATAATGATGATTAATTGTTAAAAATACATCATGCCTGCCACTGCCAAACTCTCATAATAATTAAAGTATCCCAAAGGTAATGTTCTACTTATATAATTTTTTTACATCATTTTTATTATATCATGATGTGATATATATCATAATTATATAAATTTTTAATTATTTTAAATTTTTAATATTATAATAAAATTTATGTGATTGTAACATATGATGTATCATGATGTTTATAAAATAACGTAAAAAAATAGTGTAAGTTTGCCAAATAACGTAAAAAAATAGTGTAAGTTTGCAAAGTGGGCTATGAATAAACATGGAAACTCACCTCTAAACAAAATATTAATTATTTAAATCAAATCAAACCCATTGAGAATTGGAATCATCTCAACAATTTTCTTTTCTTTTTATTTTTAAAAAGAAAAAATAAAGAATAATAGCTAAAATCAAATCAAAGCCCATTGAAAAACGGAGAAACAAATGATGTTACATCATTTCAATCCATGAAAAGCCGCATTTTAAGAAGGCGGCACGCCTAATTTCTGGATTTTCTTAATTGATAATAAAAAAGAAAGGAAACAACAAAGCCCTACGACCTGCAAAAAAATGTAGTTTTATAATTATCAGAATACTAAAATGCGCTTTTGCGTGGAAGCGTCACCGATCTCTATCAAAAGCAGACAACTTGTGTCTGTTTTTGCTTATTTATATTACCGACTCCTTTCACCTTTTTCCCTCAACTCACTATCAAAAACTTGCTTTTTTCGTTTGACCTTCTATTTTTATTTTGTATCCTCTAAATTTTCAATATTTCCTCATCAGTTAAAGACCATAACCTACAAAGTTCATTATTTTGATGCATTTCAATTTCTTTTTTCTTCTTTTTGTAAATATATATATATTGATATAATCAGATTTTTTCTTCTCCTTATTATGAGTTTATAAACTTTATGTCAAAACTCGTAAAACAAAGAGAAAATATGTAGGAACAAGATATCTGTTAATGCTCGATTTTGACACCAACTAAATGCACGTATGAAATGCTGAACTGGCTCAGAAGACACATGTGAATAGGGGTATGAGACTGAATGAGAGATGGAAGACAATATTTAAAGTAGTTCGGATGCTTAAACAAGCGACTCCTACATTCACTGATATTGTATTAATATGAGGGGTCAGATCGCGTTTAGCGAGCTGACTTACAAGTGATTACAAGAGAGAAAATGTGTATGTTATTCTAGAGAAAAATTAGCTAATCAATAACAAAATGAGCAAATCTCACAAACGGGAGAAGAACTCTCTATTTATAGTGGGATGAATTGAGGTAATGATTATTAAATCTGGGAGTGGGTTAGGTTGCCGTACAGATCCTTTCTTGCGTCTTGTTACTCACTTACTCGAGTGATTCATGCGACGTATGCAAAGATTAGACACGTGGAGCTTCTCCAGCCTCTTGTCATTCTGGCGTGCACCCACTGCACTGGTAGGAGCATGCTGTTCATGCTAGCACGCGACGTGACTGCATCTGAATAGTTGTAAGACCTATCCAAACTCTGACCACTGCTGACATGGTATTGCGTTAACCCTACTTTTCTAAACATAACAGAAGTCTCATAGTTTTTAATTTTTTCTCCCCACAAAAGAAGAATTGATAAACAGTATTATCAAAATGACCATGGTATCAAGAGAAAAGTTCATCGAACTAGGGGAAAGGTTCGCCGAAAGTTGTTAACATTTTATAATTTAAACTTGTCAAAGATTAAAGAGATTAAATATGTTATAGAAATGTGGGAGTAGGTTCCCACGAGGCAAAGAAATCTTTTGGGAGGTCAAAATGCGAGAAATTTCAATCAAACACTAAGAAGGTTCGAGATAGTAGCTAATTAGCAGATCAGGCAATCACACTTTTATGATAAAACTTTTCGTATTGCTTCTTGAGATGGTGCTGCTTCATTTTTGAAAGTCTATCAAGTACGATGGCTTCTTCTTCTTCTTCTACGGCTGTTGAAGTGAGGAAGCATGATGTTTTCCTCAGTTTCTGTGGCGAGAACACCCGGACCACATTTACCAGCACTTTACATGGAGTCTTGAAGGAGACAAGTATAAATGTTTTCATTGATGATGAACTTAACAAAGGAGAGGAGATTTCGTCATCTCTTATGAGTGCAATTGAAGAATCAATGATTTCAGTTATTATTTTCTCGAAAGGTTATGCATCTTCAAGATGGTGTCTTGAAGAACTTGTGAAGATCATGGAGTGCAAGAAAACGCAAAAACAGTCGGTAATACCAATTTTCTATCTCATAGATCCATCAGAAGTAAGGAATCAAACTGGAATTTTTGGAGATGGATTTGCCAAGCTTGTAGAAAGTTTTGATGAGGAGAAGTTAGAGAACCTACAAATTGACAGAAGAACAATTTAAAGACAAGATTCAGACATGGAAGAATGCTTTGACAGATGCAGCCAACCTATGTGGCAGGACATCAAATAAGAGATCGTAATTCTCTACCCTTTAATTTAATACTCTGGCAGTTTTAGCTGATTTTAACTTTCACATTATACATCAAGTAGTTTAAGAGAGATTCCATATATATATTTTACTGGATTAATGACCATTTTTTTTCTCAATACCTAATAGAAGATACTCTCACATTAAAATTCACAAATTAAGTAGCTAGTTACTTACTTTTTGCAAAATATTTTACATGTTTGTTAGAATTTTAAAAATATATTACCATGTTAAGTTGTTATCACACCTAAAGGCCGATATGACATCCTTATTATAACATGTTAAGTTGTCATCTCACATAAAAGGTCTCACTTTTGTCCTCTCATACCATGTTACCTAAAAGCCTCTGATATAATGTTGATCTACCATCCTTATGATGTCATGTTAAGTTGTCATCACCATGCTAAGCTTCATTAAAATCAACTATTGTTGGATTTTTTTTTTTTTTTTTTTTAATTCTTAATGGTTTACTACAGATTTAACAGTTTGTCTTTTTCATTATTGTTAGGCTTAATTATAATCTTGCAAAAAAAGTTATTGAAGATATTTTGAAGATCTTAAATTTCATGTCCCCGAGTAATAATGACAAGAAATTAGTTGGAGTAGAATTCTTCATTCAAAAAATTGAATCTTTGATGCAAATTGGGGGAGAAATATTCACATTGTACGAATTTGGGGAATGCGTGGTATAGGCAAAAGAACTATTGCAAAGAGTGTATTCGACAAAATAAGCAATCAGTTTGAAGGTTCATACTTTGTTAGAAATATTAGGGAAGAATCAACTGGTCCTTATGGACTAACTCGGATGCAACAAGAACTTCTTTCTAGTATATTAAAGCATCCTATTGGCTTCACAAAAGGAAGGCTTGGTCGTAAACAAGTTCTCATTATTTTGGATGATGTGACTACTTTAGAACAAGTAGAAGTCTAGGAAGTCGAATCATTATAACAACAACAGATAAACAAGTGCTTCGAAATTGTGGAGCGGATGACATCAGTATATACAAGATGAAGGGGCTACCTAAGAATGAAGCTCTTCAACTTTTTAGTTGGTATGCTTTTCGGCAAAATTGTCCCAACATAGATTATGGTGACTTGTCAAATAGGGTAGTAAAATATACTAGAGGTGTTCCACTAGCGCTTAAAGTGTTGGGTTGTTGCTTACTTGGCAAATCAAAACAAGTTTGGGAAAGTGCATTACAAGAATTCGAAATAATTCCTCATGTGGATATTCACAAGGTACTAAAAATAAGTTATGAGGACCTAAATGATAATGAGCAGAATGTATTTCTAAATATTGCAGGTTTTCTTAAATGAGAGAATAAAGATTTTGTGGTAAACTTTTTGGATGCTTGTGATTACAGGACTGAATATGTACCAAGTGTTCTCACTGATAAGTGTCTCATAACTATATCAGAAGATAATAAGATAACAATGCATGATTTGCTTTAAGAAATGGGTTGGAAAATTGTTCGACAAGAATCCACAAAAGATCCCAATAAACATAGCCGTTTATGGTACCATAAAAATATCTATGAAGTATTAGAAGAAAATAAGGTAAGTGTCAAACACATTGTATATATTCTGTTTTGATATTTTATAAATTTATTTCGAGAATTATGTTTCCACTTTTCCTATTTGAATTAGCTTGGATCAGTTTTGGCTTGTGTTTAATCATTTTAGAAGAAAGTCGAAAAAATATATATTATTTATGCTAATAAAATCTTAAATAGTTTATAGCTAATTATCATCTTTCTTTGGTATTATGTTCCTAATAAAATTGAAGGCATATGTTTAGACATGTCTAAACAAGAAGAGACCATATACTTAGAACCTTGTGCTTTAGCAACGATGCATCAACTTAGATTCTTTAAACTACATAATGCGCACTATGAAGAGAATAATATCAATAAGGTGCATATTTCCCAAGAGCTTCGTTACGTTTCGACTAAGCCATGATACTTATCTTGGCATGGATGTCCATTGAAATCATTGCAGCCAATTTTTTTGCTGAAGTACCTTGTTGCGCTTGACATGCCTCACAGCAATATTGAACAACTTTGGTCTAGTACCCAGGTAATGTAGTGATATTAATATTCCAATATTTCTTTCTTAAGTTCTCAATATCAAAGATACTAATATGTGTTACTGATTATTTCTTTCCTATTTACAGCTTCAGAATTTGAAACATATTGATCTCAGTTTCTCTAAACACCTAAAGATTCAAGATCTCTCATTGGCCTCAAATCTTGAAAATTTGATTTTAGAAGGTTGTACAAGTTTGTGTGAGATTGCCTCATCCATTTATGGTCTCAATTATAAGCTTCTTATCTTAAATCTAACGCAATGTAAAAGTCTTGGTAGTCTTCCAACAGGCATTCGTCTAGAATCTCCCAAAAAAGTTATCTTTTCAGGGTGCTCAAATCTTAAGTTGTTTTCACAGATCTCTTGGAATATGAAAGAGTTATATTTAGATCAAACTGCCATAAAGGAGTTGCCGTCGTCAATAGAGAAGTTATCCAGACTAGTTATATTGAATCTTAAAGACTGGTTTATGCTTGAGAGGCTTCCAAGCAATATCTCTGTGTTAAAATCTCTTGAATATCTCAATCTATCAGGGTGTTCAATACTTCATGGATTGCCCGATAACTTGGGAAATTTAGAAGCGTTGAGGGTGCTTAAAGCAGAGGGGGTCCCTATGCGCGAAGTACCAACATCCATTCTAAATTTGCGCTGTCTAGAAGAACTAGATCTGACAAGCTGTGGTATTGAGGAGTTGCCGAACAATCTTGGTCAGTTATCCTCACTAAAAAGTTTACTTCTTGGCAGAAACTCTTTGAGAGCATTCTAACAAGCATTGAACAGCTTTATTGGTTATCTTATCTTGACGTAAGCTACTGCGAGAGGCTTCATATCCCACCAGCGCTTCCATGTCTGTTAGAAAATTCAGATGCACACAATTGACAGCATTGGAAGCATCATCATCAAGTTCGTCGATTCTCTTCGGCAGATTTTTTTCTAAAAGCGCAAGAGTTAACTTCAGCAGTTGCTTCAAACTGGATCAAGAGGCCATCACTGACACTGTTAAAGTTTTTCAACCGTCACAAGATCATAATTTTGTTGAATGGGTATGTATGTTTAAGAAAGACTAAAAGGGCTCCTCGCTCTTTCTTTTTTCATATGATTTTTTCATCACTTCTGTTAGAAAAAGAAAATTGTTAATGATATATGTTAACGTTTATAACCATGTCATAAGTGGTTGACTTCATTTTTTATTTTTTACGTCTTGTACAGAGAAGACTTTTACACAACAGAAGTCGTTGTTTCTGTTTCCCTGGATGGGAAATCCCAGAGTTGGTTGTCTTTCAAAGAATAGGATCTTTTATAACTCTGGAGAAAACAAGTAAATCTTCGCTCTAGTGACTTGACTTTTCTTCTCATCTGGGTTGTTGTGGAGTTTCAAAACTATCATAATGAAGGCCAGGGTTTGGTGGTTGGCTTTGAGTGTTTGCTCACAAGAGAAGATGGTATAATGGATGTGTTCCCAGGAACTTTGAGGGGATGGGACTATGGTAATGGACCTGACAATGTGGACTCAGATCACGTATTCCTGGGATATGATTTTGCTTCTAAGTTCTCTGATTCGCACACTAATGAAGATCGCAGATATTGTGAGATGACCATCCGATTTTATGTTGAGAATTTAAATAATGAAAGACTAGGTTGTTGCAATGTGAAAAAGTGTGGAGTTTGGTGTCCAAACTTAGAGTTAACAAGGGAAGAAAAACCAGAGTCCAAGAAATTGAAAACTGAAAATTTCTATGTTGGCGAATCCAGCTCAAGGTAAATAAGATGCTTTCTCTTTTTTCTCCTGTTATTTTCTATCTTTTCAAGATTCCATTTTGCTTGAATTCTTGGGAAAAATGTCTTAGGTTGGTTGTACAGGGAGGAGAAACCAGAGTCCCAGAGATTGAAAAGTGAAAATTTCTACGTTGGCGAATCCAGCTCAAGGTAAATAAGATGCTTTCTCTTTTTTCTCTTTTGCTTTTTTCCTTTTTTCAAGATTTCATTTTGCTTGAATTCTTGGGAAAAATGTCTTGGTTTGGTTGTACCACATCTAATATCATTTGTTTTTACTTGTTATGGCTAAGTTCTTGTCATACTAATATAACATTAACCTCTCTTTTTATGTAAATTGAATCTTCTCCTGATCTAATTTCACCTGACACTTGACGGTGACAAATTTTGTGGTCAGGATTGTTTGTTATCATTTTTCTTTTCACTCACATTGTTATCTTTTCACTCACAACCGAAACGAAACTGCTTTGTACCCTCTTACTCTTAGGCTCTGGCTCTCTCCTCTACTATTCACGCAACAAAGAAATCCCATGAAAGGTTATGGGTTTGGAAAAAGGTTAAAATTTGTTTTATGAATCATGATTCATTCTATTTTCTTACTAATTTCATATTAATTTTAAAATTGTATTGAGTTGATTTTATTTATGCGGTTGCTTCTAACAATGTTATAGGTAATTCTTTATGTATTCTCTCTCCCAAATGTAATCTTTATTGCTTCTTTTGCTATATATGCTTCCAGGTGAAGATAGGTTATTTTATATATGTTTTTCTTTTTCCTATCAAATAATAATTTCTAATATATCATAATAAAATTTGAATATGAACACTATTATTGTCATTTCCTTTTCAAGTTTTTTTTTTTTTTTTCTGTAAGAAAGATCTTTTAGCATAAATTTTGAAACAATGTTTGTAATTCTCTTTCCAGATTCACAGAATCTAGTTTACGTGGAAATGTGTGTTTAAGTATGTCTGAATAGTTATTGTCAATACCTGAAAAGTGAAAACATCTAAGGGCGTTAACAGGTAAGAAAGGGGTGTGAGATGGTTGTTGACAATGGTTTTGTGATGCTGTGGTGGTGAAAGTCTCCTCTGTAGCCGCTGGAACCTTACCTTACTCATTACACTGTCAAAACCTTACATTACCCTTACGCTGCAAGCCCCGCTGTTTTGGGGGCAGGGCAGACTGCTGCGTGCCCTACTGTTTCGAGCTGCGGGGCAGTGCGCTCTACGTGCCCTTTGCAATGGGCACAGAGAGCTGCGAGCCCCGCTGTTTCGAGCCATGGGGCAGTACTTCCTGCATGCCCTTTGCAATGGATGCGAAGGACTAAACACCTCGCTGTTTTGGTGCACAGGGTGGCGCGGCCCACATGCCCTTTGCAGTGCGCATGCACAGCTATGCGCCCTGCTGTTTGGGCGCACGGGGAACTGCTCCTTGCCCCCTCACCCCCGTCCGCTCACCAGCGAACGAGACCCCGAATGAGTCACCGTAGGGAAATAATCTATCAAGACTAAGAGAAGTATATACTATATCCAACACTTTTTGCATTAGGCATGTAAGGGTGCGCTCCTTGCACACGTGGTTTGTAAGGCGGTGCACACCGATTTTCCCTCAGCATCTAGTCAACGTCTCACTTTGTGAGTCGTTAGCCTCCGTGTAACAGCGCCACCAATGGCATGACTCATTTTCCCCACAACAGTAATGATAATATGTACTGAAATTTCTTTTTCTAATTTAAAGTTTTGGGATTTTGATGTAGGTAAAATACTTAAAGCCTTCCCGAGGTGTTGCTGCAGATTCATAAAAATTCAGAGATCTAGCGAATTAGACGCCACAACAAGCCCAATATTTGTCATTTAGCTCCTAGTTGAACTTTCTTTGCTTCTGATGGTGCGACTACTGAAACTTGCTGTATTGGTCCAAAGATAGCAGTTGATATGAGTTTGATTTGACTTGATTCATTTAGTTGACAAACCCAGATGAAGTTTGATATTAGATTCCGGAGTGTGATCAGGTTCTTTAGCATGAGCCACTTAGATTTCATTTCTCATGAGTCTAGGCTAGTTTGATTATAACTATAAAAGATAATGTTAACTAATGAAAGAAACCAATATAGAATATAAAATACTTTTACAACTAATTAAAGAAAACTTTAAGACTCAACATATTTTGCACGAATATGATCTTCCAGTTCACCCAACCATGGTAGCAAAGACAGAATTCCAAAATTCTTAAAGCTTGAATCTGAAAAGAAATAACAGTGCAGTGGTGAAAAAACTAAGCCAAATCGGGAAATTCATAAAATTCCAGATTCCTTAAATACCACTAATGTTGTGGAAAAATCCTACCCAGACCTATGAATCCATAACATCGAATATACAGATGCAGCTCAAATTGCTCAGTCTTCAACGTTTACTACAGCCAAATTGTCTATTATTGAAAACCCTTCTACAGGAGTATCCACTGTCCACAATCATGAAACCCAGACCAGAATTAACAAAAAGATGAACATAATCAATTAAAACACCAAGCTCGTACCTATAGAATCATGAAACCCAGACCAAAACTAACACCAAAGCACATCAAAATTGAATTATATCTTAAATTAGTGTATTTATAAATTCAAATGGATAATTTAAAAATTAAAGGATGAAAAATTAAAAGCAAACTGATCATAAAAATAAGCTTTGAAAACTGATTCATTTTATTTGTGTTAACTTCAATCAATAACACATCAGGTATTTGGTAATTCCCATGAATGAATCTTAGTAATAAGCAAAAATCCCAGACATCTATCATCAACAAACTGAAATTCAACTGTTAAGTAATTACATGAGAAGATTCCTGATCAATCAAGAAACTAAAATCCTATAAGGCCACTGCCATGATGACTACGACGTTGTTCAACACCAACGAAACTCTTCTTCTTCACTGGACGTGGTTTCGACCAATAATCCGACGACGGCTTGAAAACAGCAAGTATATGATAATTCCACCGATTCTTGGCTTCTCCAACGGTCTCCCAAGCGGTGGTAATGATTTTCATGGCTCCAGGTGCAGCAACGCAGTTAAACTCATCAGGGTTTATCATCTTTCCGATTTTGACATACTGATGAGGGATGGATTGACAAGAAAGCACCTCATCTCGGATGTTAAGAACAAGCGTGACAATCAATCTCTCCGCTTTTGGTTTTCTTATTGGAATGATCAAAGTGAATAATACAATACATCTCCAAGAAGCGATCAATAGATTCAAAGAAAGGACCACACGCTTTGCTGAAAGAGGCCACCTATACGCATCTTTGAAGAAGTTGTTCAAGAACTCCTCCTTTGCAGTATCTATCAAGCATCACTTCCGTCATTGTTGTTTCAAACCCAAACAGAGGTATAAATTATTACAGAACTCAGGTTCAAGAACTGAGAATTGCAAATCCAATTTCTGAAAACACTCAAAAAAGACACAACAAAGGAAACTCTGTTTAGGTATATGTACATAAGGGTAATTTAGTTGATTTTATCTTTCAATTAAAATGAATTAATTAGATNGCCAAAGCGAATCAGGATGCAGAAATTGTCTCTATTTCTCTTGTTTCTGTTGAATATGTCTCAATCAACTCACATAAATGTTGATTTAAGAATTCCCTCAGCGCGTCGTAAAAGGGTTTTTTACTTTGTATGTTTTAATTCTTGTAGAGTTTTGAGAGTTCCCGCTTTCTGCTACAACAGATTCTTAGACCAATAGTCAACGACAGTCTGTTGGCGGAAATTTTATAGTTGAAATATAGCATTTAGCTGAATTTGAGGCTTCCTCATTTTATTGCCATACATGAAATGAAGATAACAGCATAGTATATTAAGAGAAATGATGTTTGAGCTTATACGACCCAACAAAAGAACTCATAAAACCAATGACCGCCTGAGTTTGTTAATAACTCCCACGAAAAATTTATGTCAAATTTCCATTTACTGATACTAATCAAAGAAATTTTTGAAAAGAAAATACAAAGCAAGAAATTGCAATGGTCCACCTAATATCAAGTCTCTGAAAGATGAAAGTGGCTTCAACCACAGCATAGCCACTTTCTCTGCATAAAACCATAGTGAAAAAGAACTCTAAAATCAGAAAATTAAACTCCAAGTAAATCAAATTTAAATCAATCTCTAACACATACCTTTGGAGAATACTGAGAGTAATCACTTGTTTTGTACACACTGTCATTTCTTGGGGGGGTCGAAGTTTTCCCACCATCACTGCTGGCCTTCTTCTCATCTCGAGCCCTGTTGAATATTACACTAAATCCTTCGGCTGTTGCTGGGTTATTTACATCCCACTCTCCAAACTTGGGCAATGCACGCCCTCTATCTTGCTGAAATAACAGAATCAATAATTTAGATGAAGATCCTGTAAAAATATCCCAATTTACACGACGAAACTATATGCTTTCCAACAATTAAGGAAATAAAAGACTTGCAGCTGTTCAACTTCTAATAAAAATAAATAACTATCATCGAAATTTTGTATTAAATTAGAGCGATATAAGAGAGCATAATAGTTATACAATTTGTTGGACATAAAAAATAAATAAAAGAAAAAGATATGAACAATACAGATGCCATGAGTGAGAGACAGAAGCTTGGGAAATGAGAGGAGGTCTGGTAATGAAGAGTTTGATAGGCAAATAGAGAAGGTTTTATTTATAATACAAGTAAACACGTCCTTTTACGCGGCACTCACTCTAACCGCTGTTTTCATGGAGCCTAGGCACGTCCGTAATCTACGCTATTTTAAACTAGAATTACAATTTAAAATCCTCTCACTCTCTCATTTTCATCTTTCTGTTGGCACCGAACCAGTGAAAAATGAACACGCTCTAGGATTTACAGAGCCCTGACAGCTAGTGTTGTAGCCCTAATTTTTTTTTTTTTAAATTTATTTATTTTGATATTTTGTTTGTTAAACAGAAGAGTTCCTAAAGGAGCTAATTTATTTATTTCAACTCAGTTACAATTTTGTAGTTGAGATAATATTCAATCAGAATGGCATTATCACATCAATGTTACACCAAAATTTAGGGGTAAGCGGTTCCAAGTACCCTGTATTTTTTGAGAGAACCGGAACTGCACGGTGCAGGTTTCTAAAAAAAAGGAATCAGAATCAGAACCTAAAATGCAGGTTCCGGTTCCTTTCCCAGGTACCCTATAAAAAATAAATTACCCCCTATTAGTTTTAAAAATAACAAAAATACTTTAAAAGTTTACAAATACACTCCTAACAAAATTTGATTACTCATTCATTTGTGCCCAATATAACTCATAAATCCTCTAATCTCTAGGCAATATTTGAATTCAATCAATTCACATAAAATTCCTCAATCAAAACCAAAACACAAACAATTATTCATCACAATTCACATCAAATAACTTTACCAAAATCATTCAAACAAACAACAATATAAAAAGTTAGAAACTGTCACCGTCTTTGATTCTCCCACTACTAAAACCTAATGTGGTAAATTTATTGTTATAAATTATTAATGTTTATAATGTAATATAGTAATGTTGTAATTAATTAAGTAATTATTTAATTATAATGTAATTTTATAATTAATTAAGTAATCATACTATACATTTATAATATAATGTTATAATTAATTAAATTTCTAATTATTTAATTAACTATTATACTAATGTTTATAATGTAGTGTTATAATTAATTAAATAATCATACTATAAATTTATAATGTAATGTTACAATTAATTAGATTTTTTAATCATTTAATTAAGTAATGTACTAATGACTAATATAGTAAATTAATAATGTTTATAATGTAATGTTATAAATTTATAATTAATTAAGTAATTATTTAACTGTGTAATGTTATACATAATTAAGTGATCATACTATAATGTAATATTATAATTATTTAAGTAATTTAAATTTCTAATCGTTTAAATAATTACTAATGTTTAATGTTTATAATATAATGTCATAATAAATTAAGTAATCATTTAATTATGTAATATTATAATTAATTAAGTGATCATACTTCAATGTAAATTGTAATGTTATAATTAATTAAATAATATACTATTTAACTATAATGTAATATTATAATTAATTAAATTTCTAATCATTTAATTAAGTATTGTGTAAATTACTAATGTTTATAAATTATAATATAATGTCATAATCAATTAAGTAATCATTTAATTATGTAATTTATAATTAATTATGTGATCATACTATAATGTAATGTTATAATGAATTAAGTAATCATACTATAAATCTATAACTTAATATTGTAATTAATTAAATTTCTAATTATTTAATTAATGTACTAATGTTTATAATGAAAATTTATAATTGATTAAGTAATCATACTATAAATCTATAATGTAATGTTATAATTAATTAAATTTTTAATCATTTAATTAAGTAATGTAATAATGTAGTAAATTGCTAATGTTTATAATGTAATGTTATAAATTTATAATGAATTAAGTAATCATTTAACTATGTAATGTTATAATTAATTAAGTGATCATAATATAATGTAATGTTATAATTAATTACGTAATAGTTTAATTAAGTAATCATTTGTTTATAATATAATATTACAATTAATTAAGTGATCGTACTATAAATTTATAATGTAATGTTAATATGTTATAATTAATTAAATTTCTAATCATTTAATTAAGTATTGTGCTAATGTAATATTATAAATTTATAACTAATTAAATAATCATTTAACTATGTAATGTTATAATTAATTGAGTGATTATAATATAATGTAATGTAATAATGTTATAATTTAATTAAATAATTATTTAATCATAATGTAATGCTTAATTAATTAAATTTTTAATCATTTAATTAAGTAATCATTTGTTTATAATGTAATGTTATAATTAATATTTATAATATAATGTCATAATCAATTAAATAATCATCTAATTATGTTATAATTAATTATGTAATCATACTATAATGAAATGTTATAACGAATTAAGTAATCATATTATAAATCTTTAATATAATATTATAATTAATTTGTTTATAATAGAATGTTATAATTAATTAAGTAATCATTTAATCATAATGTAATGTTATAATTAATTAAATAATCGTACTATAAATTTATAATGTAATGTTATAATTAATTAAAGTCTAATCATTTAATTAAATATTGTGCTAATGTTTATGTAGTAAATTAGTAATCACTAATATTTATAATATAATGTCATAATCAATTAAATAATCATTCAATTATGTAATGTTATAATTAATTATGTGATATAATGTAATGTTATAGTGAATTAAATAATCATACTATAAATCGTTAATGTAATATTATAATTAATTAAAATTTTAATCATTTAATTAAGTTTTGTACTAATGTTTATGATGAAATATTATAATTGATTAAGTAATTATACTACAAATCTATAATGTAATGCTATAATTAATTAAATTTTTAATTATTTAATTAAGTAATATACTAAATGTTATAAGTCAATTAATTAAGTAGTAATCAATTAATGTAACGCTATAATTAATTATACTATAAATCAATTAAGTAATGTTATAAAATTATAATTAATTAAGTAATCATTTAATTATAATGTAATGTTATAATTGATATTTAACTAGTAATTAAATTTATTAATGTTTATCAATCTATCATATACAATTAATTAATTTCTAATTTACTATAGATATACTTAGAACTTGATAATTGAAGTAAATAACTAAATATATTATTATTCAATCAAATATACAATTTTATTAAAAAATAATTCTTTTAATAACATTAAAACACTTTTTATTGAATCTTAATTCTAATTATACACTTAATTAATAAAAAATTTAATATTAATATATTATAATATATTAAAATTTTTAATATGTAATAACTAATAAGTATAATTATTTATTTATTTAATTAGGTTATTCTAAAAATTTAACTTTTTCTATTTTAAATTTTTTTATATGTAAAATAATGAAACCTCCCATTATTAAAAATATTTCATTACAATGCAGGTTCCAAAAATCGGTTCCAAACCATTATTTTAAAAACTGGATCGAAAGGCAACCCGCTCTGATGGCCGGGTCACGGTTCAACCGGTCCAACCGGTTGGACAATCGGTTAGACCGGTGATGTCATCACAAATTATGATGACGTCAACACATTTTATAAATTTTTTTTTAGATTTCTATATTTTAATAAGACAATAACAATTTAATTATTATTATCCAACATGATTCAAAGTTTAAATTTAACAACAATCCTAACATAATTTAAGTATTTAACAACAATTTAAAGTCAAAATCCAAACATGATGTTGTATTTTAATATATTTCAATTATATTCTAAAACTTAAAAAAAAAATACCAATAAATTATAAAACGAAAAGAAACAATACGTGACTAAATCCAAGCTCTCTTACTGATATCAAGATCAAGAGCATACATTTAGCATCAGCCGCCACGCTTGTGGGCAGAAAACAAAACAACACACTACAATGCCGATACTAATCTAACACTACTCCAATCCTAAAGCTGCTAAGTTAACTAAATTAAACAACAGATTGATTTTCATATTTTATTACGAACTAAGATACACTACTCAAGCACTACAATCGACAAAAGTACTCGAACTACCGAAAGAAGGATAGCTAAAACCAGAAGGTAAAGATATTGACATCACTACGATGGGGCACCGAGATATGAGGCTAGCCGCAATATGTCGCTGAAAATTCCACCGGCTGTGACTTGAGCTCTAGCACCCGGACCACGGACTATAAGTGGCTGCTCCTTGTATCTTGTTGTCGTGAAAGCTAAGATATTATCAGAACCAGAGGGTTGTGCAAATGGATGGTCTTTCTTGTATCTTCGCAACTGTTTTCGGTTGACAGCATCCACCACTCCAACATACCTCAGAACCTGAGAATACACATTTGAAGCAAAGACAAGATCTTACATGTTAAGCAAAAACGAAAGCAAAACTTATTCTTGTAAACCAGCTCCAGAGAAAAGAAGGACCACACCATAACTTGTGACCTAATATAAGACTTACTTCAAGAATAACAACAAAAATTTCTCAAATTTTTCAGAATTCTTCTGTCTAGGGAGTCATGATATGTTGTATCAAAAGTATCGTATTCTCTAAGATTGTAGGGCCATTTATTCTCCACAGGATTAAAAATGTGCGCCCAGCTTACTTCTTTAACTTTTTAGGGACTGATTAGAATTTAAAACATGGTTCAGACTAAAGCCATGGCGCATCGATTATTGCTCCAGATTAAGTTTGCAACGAAATCATTATTGATTATTGAAGCTGGATCGAGGAACGGCGTGTTTATTACTTGGATCGAGGAATGGAGTTGTCGTCGTCGATTTCCGACGAGGGAGGAAGACGTCGTCATCGATTTCAGAGAGATCAAATGCGATTTGGGTGGGATTTCAGAGAGAAATATTCGCAGAGAACAAACAACAGAGACGAATCTAAAAATTTTTTGTAGAGAAGAGAGAAGAAGCTAAGAAATTTGCATAAGAAATTGAGAAAATTTTCTTAAGAAACTGAGAAAGAGATGAACTGAACGTGATGAGAAGAAGGCTGCGTGTATTAGGTTTAGGGATTTTTAATTGGACCGGTTTATCAGTCGGTCTGATTGGACCGACGGTTCGCTGAAAATATCCGGTTCTTTAACGGTTTAACGCGGTCCATTGCATTATAATGGTTTTAGGGTTGA